ATGTCACTGATTATTGTCTCTGGATAATTGAACAACTCTATAAGACCATGTTAGAACTGCCAGCATTTATTACCTCCCCTCATTTCAGAGGGATCATGCTTTGTCTTTGGTTGCACAATGGCAGGCACCTCATTATACTGCAATAAACTTGAGCCTTCACAGCGATTGCTACGGAGAAGAAGCCAGTCGGGTGTGGAACAGAAAAGAAATCAAAATGCTTCATTGCTGCGGTGACGACCAAAGCACGTCAACATAGCTGCTGAGTTTATTCAGAACAGAATATTAAAGTGTGTTTGTTTTGCATCTGAGTAATCCCAACTGAATGTTTAGCTGGCTGATTGGATGCACACAAACACCTCCGGAGGAATCATATTTAACTTCAACCTTGCAAGAACTTACATGCACAAGCTTGGATCTTTTTTAAATGTATTAACGAAGCAGATATACATGTAGCAGCTGACCAATTGACAGTGGGCTGGGAATATTGTCTGCAACACCCAGATCCATCAATGAGGAGGAATTACGAAAAGATTTTAATTTCTGATAACAGCTTTTCCTATTAACATTTTTTGCAGACTAACTGCAGAATTGCCTCGTCTTTCTTTTCTCATTCATTTGACTTCCAATGGCCGAGGCTTACATCCAAATCTCTCTTTAAAAAAATACATTTACCTTATCAAGGTAAATCACGTGTGGTAAATCAAGTGAACAGAAGCACTATGGGAAAATTCATGCAAAGTACTAAAGATAAAATCAGGTTCTCGCATGTCGTCTCCATATTTCACCATCTGTCTCTGCTCCTCTCTGCCTCTCTCACACTAAGCACACAGGGCGTCTGGTTGTTTTGTCTGGCTGGAACTTTTTGTTAAAGACGGGACTTTAAAGTTTCCAGACCACTTCCCTCTAGCTCCCACAAACCAGACTTCCCTGTCAGACCCCTGGCAGCACGTCTCTGGCAGCCCTCAAACCCTGGAACTGAGACATTATTCCTATTATGCAGAATAACAACAACAAAGAGAGCTGGAATAATATTTAGATTTCACTGACCGGTTGATAAGTGACGTCAAATAAATTATGAGCGCAAAATTGAGTTTTCAGTAAGATTACACAAGAAATAATAAAGACCTTTGTGATCCCCATCACCTTCCAAATACCAGTGGAAACAAATGAGACTGACAAGATGGAGGTTTTCTCTTGACTGCCATTTTATTGTTTCACTGCTGAATCCAACAATGCTCCTTGAAAATAAATTAAAAAATGTGTTATTGCAGAGCTGCTGACAGACAGTGATCTGTATCTCATCACAACTCCACCACAGAAAAGTTCATCTGTGAAGCTAGAAGAGGAGGAATCCAGAAATCTGTCTCATGTAAATTAATGCTCATGTCAGCTTGTTAAAATACTCGCAAAATAACAATGTCAATATCTTTAGCAAATACATTTTAGTATGTGTTATAATACTAAATGTCTGCAGTAAATTTCATGGCAATACCATTCAATACTTTTCAATACATTTAACCTAAAACTACAATATTAATCCTAAAGATGGCAGCAGATGAACAATTGGGGCATTTAGAGGAATCATTAGGACACCGCATCTAAGAACAATTAATGTCTGTATACGATTGTGTGACGGTGGTGAGATATTTCACTGGATAGATACAAACATTTGACCTGCTGTTAGATGTAGATTAAAATTCACCAAACTCCTCATGGTTCGTCCTCTGGTGACCATGAATATCAGCTACTCCACTCTTATTTCAACAGACCTTTGTATTCGCAAGAAGACAAATCCTGGTGAGTTTTGGTGATGCGTTGAATTTTCATTACAGCCACTAACAGAAACTCTTTTTTACAGAATACATCAAATTCTCAACTGCTTGAGCGGCCCTTTAAAAGTGCCAGTGTTCCTTCAGACTAATTATCAAAGAATTATTGTATAACGCTTTCGGCGAGCGTTTTCAAAAATGATGAGATCCATAAATTCAACCAGATATCCCCATGTTTTTTTAAATTTATCATGGATTATTGGGACTTCACCATCAACGGAAGATTTATTTCCAAGTAGGATCACTTTTAGAGGTTTTTGTTACACCGCAAGCACATTTTCTTCTTTCTAATTCCAAAGTTTATGAGCCCAGATGTTCCACCTGTAAAAGAATACCGATTCATTCGCCAAGGCAAATGTATTTTTACTGAACTGAAAAGGAAAAACTAAAAATTAAATGCAATGTCAATTTAACAGCAAATCCTACTGGATTTATCAGAAATGAAAATCACTTGTATTGTTTGCCCAAAATCTTGTTATGGATTAGCTCACAATGCTATGGTAAGCGGACTGGCCAGACTCAAATCGCAGAAACAGATACAGGAACAAAAGCTGAGTGAAGGTATTTCATGATAATAACCAATGTGCAAAGGGCAGAACTGACCTATACTCTATTTACCAATTGTAAACTATAAAACCATGTCTGAGGAAGGAACTGGGGGAATCCAGAGTCTGGCCGATGCGTAACAGAGTGTGTCCAAAGGGATCGAGGGGATTTTCAGAGAAACCAGTGTGGCAGAGGAGCTTGCTGAGCATGACAGGAAGTAAGTGTGAGTAGGTGATCCTGGCAGAAGGAGAAGACCGGCTTAGTTTGCAAGGGGGCAGGCCAACAAGACACTCCACCAAGGTCCAAAAGGCTCCTTAAATTCAATCAAGCACTTGCACTTATTTGCACAAACTCATACGTATTTGTTTCATAAATCTATCTGATCTGATTATGTAATGAAAAAGTCAAAAACGTCCCCTTTCTTGCTTTCCTTGTCCAAATCCGTTCCAAACGTTTCGTGGCCTGTGTCCCATCTTTCCAACAAGTTTTATGGAAATCAGTTTTTGTCTCAGTAGATTTTTTGTAGTCCTTATGACAAACAAACAAATTAACTAATGGACAGGCAAAAACAGGATGTCCTTGGTGGAGGTAATCAGACTAGCAAGGAGGGGTCGGCCAAAGAGTGAATACCACGAGGTAACACAACGTTCTGGCAAGGAGAGTTGACTTGATGTATTCAGGTGTGGGGTTGATTACTTAAGTTACGTTAAGAGGTGTGGAAGAGGAGTGTAGGGAGGAGACTGAACAGGAGGTCACACCCAGCCATCAGCCCACACAACCAGGAAGTGTCTAAAATTCAGAAAGCACAGGCGCTGCCTCAGCCAGCAGGGAGAGAGAGAGAGTGGAGGAGCAGGAGAGGATGGGGGTGTCTTCGAATTGAAGACGTGGTGATTCAGTGGTTTAGTTTCAGCATAGATTTAAAAAGAGTGCAGCATTCCAGATTTCCACTCACAAGCACTCGGCCACCTTTGACCGATACAAAATGTGATGAAGTAAACATGGTTAGATTTGTCCATGAAACCTTGGAAAAATTGAACTCAGCTAAAATTCCCTTCAGTGATGTCAAAGCTTGTATCGACTGGACACAGGTTTTAATACTTTATATTAACATGTGAGTTAATCGTGCAACAATCAAGAACACACATGTAGTTTGCAAAGACCTTTAGCCTGAATCACTGCAGGATTACCTTCAGTCATAATACTTCAGATTTCAGCTATGGTTTGATGTGCTACACTCTCTCTACTTTGCAAAAAAGAATTTAGCAGAATAGGACACAAAGTTGATGAAACTTTGATCCTACTACTACACACTAATGTGTGGTGTGTGCAGATGAAACGCACATCTTCATTGTTCTCTTTGTTGTTTTCAACTCTTTCTGTGCTGAAAGCAGCTTTGATGTGGCCAATAAGTCCAGTAATGAAGCACTTGGCGTTATTCACACTGGATGGAGAAAAGCCTCATTTGGATGTAATAACCCACCCACAAAAGTAGAGCAGCCTGAAGTCAGGCTTTCCACTAACCTGTCATGAGGTTCACACTTCGGATAGAGTATAAAAAAACCTGTTCTCATTTCACTGCCAGTAATAGGAGATTTAATAAAACTGAGGCTATAGTTTGATATGCCCTCCATCATGTTGATGATGTTGGAATTCTTTTATTAGACCATATTGAGGTAACTGCTGAAGGATTTTTAAATCTCGACTGATATACAACAGTATACAACACATAGATTATGATCAGTGTATAACATATGGCCATGTTCATACCAGGCATTAACATGCATCCTCAGTGATCAAATCACAAGTGAACAGCTCTAAATAGGTCAGTTGACATCTGGCATCAGAATGTGTCTCCACCTGCATCTCAAATGACCATTTAAAATTGGATCTCACGTCCCTGCACGATATGCAAATAAACAACGGAGGCCACGTTATTGCTGGTTGCAAACACCAAGTCGGACAATGACAAACTGTCAGTGTGTTTGTGTGTGTGGGAGAGAGAGAGAGAGAGTGGTGAGGAAAATATGGGGAGAGGGGGTAAATCTTGCTCCAGTCCCATCTCATATAAAAAGAAAAAGAAAAATCAATATGTGGTGGTCAATGTTCATATTATGGCCACAAATAAATCAATGCATGTGAAACACTAGATGTGAACAAATATGTTTAGTTTATTGTGGATCAGAGGACACGAGATGAACGGCCCAAGATGGATGCGCTTATACACTGTTATAAGAATGTGGCCACGTGCTGCAGATCACCTCAGAATGTGGCAAATATTCCTGTTCCAGCCATACTAAGAATGATGATATTAAAAATGCACTTAAGTGCTTTTCTAATCTTGACTACTCCATACAAAAAAGTACTTAAGGTGGGCATGAGAGGTACTTAATGGATTGCGGCTCTGGATGCATGCTCTGTTGGGATAGTGTACTTTTACACTGTGATGGTGTTCACTTTACTGAGGCAGGAATCTGTACTCTTCCACCACAGAAGGCTACAAAGGCTACTTTTTTTGACGTGCAGTAAGTTGTGAATTCTGCCTTATTTGTATTCTACCACTGCTCTATCATCTCCTCTACTCCTCTCTGTCTGCTGCAGTGACAAACTTCATCCTTTCATCCACAGAACCAAAGTGGAGCGAACAGCAGTCACCGTAGCACTGCTGCTCATCGCCCTGGAACCAGGATGCATTATGTATGTTGTGCGCTCTTACAACATCAAATGGCACACCTGTCATTACACACAAACACACACAAACTGCATCATAGGCCCACACAAATGTGGATCACTGCACATTGAGAATGTTTTCATGCATTCGGTCTAATTTCTATTTACCACATGCTTGAGGCAAATGTAATAAAGTGTATGTTTTTCGGAGCAACTGATTGATAAAACTGCTCCATGGCAGATGGTATGATAGTAGTATTATAGTGGGTTAAAGAGGACAAACTCAGTAACACATGCACACACACACACATATGTATGTAATGGCTGCCAGTTTTGTGGAGTAATTGTGTGTGTGTGTGTGTGTGTGTGTGTGTGTGTGTGTGTGTGTGTGTGTGTGTGTGTGTGTGTGTGTGTGTGTNTGTGTGTGTGTGTGTGTGTGGCTTAATGAGGTGGGTGCCATTATGTAAAGTTATGTAAAGTCTCTTCTCTGGCAGTAGCCTGTCTATGGGAGGCAGTTGTGCTGCATCATTTACTGGGGGAGCAGCTGAGATCCAGCTTTGGTCTGATTGTAATAGCTGCTCATCAGTGCTCCCTCAGTCCCTTTACGCATCGCCCGTAATTGTACGAGGATGACCTCTAAACACACACACAAATACACAATGCAGAAGGAATCTGACCCCTGCTGTGATAACATCCCACAGACATCCCTTATAAACTCTAACTACATTCCACATAAAAAACTTCGGACAAACACACACACACACACTCATTACAGGAGAACAGCCCATTGCATACCTGCTGATAATTTATTAGCCATCGTTTGTAAAGAACGAGGAGAGAAAGCCTGTTCTTCTTTCAACTGACATGTTTCCATCCAGTTACAGCTGCTTCGCTCTGATAGGAATACTTTGACATTTAATTGCGTTATTAAAACAAATGCATGCTGTCAGAGAGATTTGTGCCTCACTCGTGCATTTTGAGTGTTTTTATCGGCAACCGTTCATCACTTCAGTCCTTCCAGTTTGTTGAGGTTTCATGAACACTGCACGGGCAGAGGTTGAAAGTGGTAGCAGTTTATCGGCCGGTTGTGTGGGCTGGATGGATTGACTTGAAACAAAAAGAGGCTTTATTGTTCTGACTGACATTCTGACCTGTGAGGTTAGAAGGTTACAGCAGTAAATACAGGAGCATAAAAGGCCTGTCCGGGGGTCTGTTGCAGGAAATCTATCTACGTGGAGGCCGGCTCTGATTAGATAAGCAGTAAGTGACAGAATGTGGGATAAAGCTGCAGTCACATCAGGCTGAAATGATTAATTACAAGCTGCCCATTGGGAGAGGCTGTTCATGCTAGACTCTTGCTGGTTCGACCATCATATTTTTCTCCAACTCATTTCCGATGATGTATTTCCTTGTTTTGCTTTTAAATAGAACACCAACTTAATTCATCAGCATTTGAAGGTGACAAAACTTTTCTGTCAAAGAGATTAAAGTTTTATCTGAGTACGGAATTTGATCTTCTGCAGTTTCTTAGCATTCGATTTTAAGTGATATCAGGTGGTTGCTTGGATGTTACTTGATATGGCAATATCAGCCTGTAAATGACAATTTGATTGACTAGGATTGCATGTCAGTCTCCCATAACTGCAAAAAAAAGGTTAGGAATGTTTGAATTGGATTTTGTTTCTTTCACTTGGCATCTGTTTCGGTGTTGAGTTTTTTAGAACAGACATCAAACACAGCACAAAGTGAACTGCAGTTTTATATGGTTAAAACTATAAACCTCCTTTTTTTTCATGCCCAACAAAGTTTTCTTTGAGGGAAGGGTTTTGAAAACGTCTTAACTTTCCAGCTGTAGTATGGAAACAGACACTGAGGAAGACGTACTTGATATATTGAGAAGGAATTGACTTCTCACTTCTGCTGATTTTATTCATTTCATTGATTTCAGTCCATTTATCTCAGTCTCAGTCTCATCATTAATCACCATTCAAATGCATTTCAGTATGTGTATGAGTAAGTGAACCCCTTACTGTTAATTCTTTGGTATTTTCTAATTCAGTATGTTTCAAAACTCAACAAGCTCTGTGCATTAGATTAACACTTAGGTGACTCCTTCACCATCGTGTTTGGTCCCAAGCTTTGAACTTTTCAGCTTATTCCAAACCAAAATAGGTTGGACCAGATTAAATGAGCCATGGTTCGGTTTATTTGTACAATTAAAAAAAAAATGTTTTGGATAGGACCAATTGCAGGAAGTGGAAACAGCAGAAGAAAAAGAAAAAGTAGTGGAGAAAAAAAAGGAGCTCACAGGATTCTTTTGACGATATATGATTGGATCACGAGGATCAGATGAACACTCGTCTTCACTCAAATCAAGGTGAAGTGCAGCTGATGACGTGATTATGTAAAGTGGATCAAACGTAAACAATGTAGCACAACTATTTGCAGTAGAGTTATCACATCAGCATGGTTTTCACAGCTTGTATGGTTTTTAAACAAGCACTTAACCAGGTGTGGGTCTGACTCGGTCAGTGACCGTCAGTGATACGATTCAGTATATTTAGCTCAGTTTAAAGGTTCGTTCATTCTAATCCCACACCCACTTGGTATCTGCAGTTAGGTGGAAACACTGGCAACCATGTGTTGCATGTCTGTTCCACGAGTCAGTGTCAGCTTTGTGTCTCACCAGAAGGTAGACGGTACTTTCTGTTATTCTCCTCCAGACTTCTCTCTTTTTTCAGGTGCTGATACTAAGAAAGTCTTAATGGTGCAGATTAAGAACATGTGTTTCAGTTTATACTGCATGATTGAAAATTTGATGTGTCCTTAAACACCGCAGCTGTACTTCCTTGTGTTCTGTCTTCAAAACGATTTTATTTGTTCAGCCCATATTCATTAACAACAATTAGCAATTTGTCAGATAGGCCTTAACAATCTGTACACGGTGCGACATCCTGCCCATAATCCTTTGCTAGAGTGAAGAAAACAATTTAAAACAATTTTACCAATTTAAAACAAAGATGTAAGAAACCTTAGAGTCACAACTGAGTAATCAGAAGTACAATAGATGTTGTGTGTAAATGAGGACGTCAACAAATAGCAACATTTACAACATGAGTAAAGTGAGGATCGACATGATTATATCTTAACTGAAACATTTATAATCATATGGATGCGTGTTCACCTCAGGTTGCACAGCCCAGCAGGAATTTGCATCTGTCCACATCTGCACATGTCCTGATATGCAAAAAACCTCGCCACTGAAATTCATTTGGTCATCACTGGGAACCCGCTTAAAAGCCTTCAGAATTATTTGAATTTGAAATCTGCAGACACATCAATCTTCTCACACTGATGGGTGGCTGTGGCTCACGGAGCTGAGGGGGTTGCTGGTTTGATCCCTGGCTCCTTCAGGCCACATGCCAAACAGTCCTTGGGCAAGATACTGAAACAAATTGCCCCTGACAGCTGTGTTGACAGTGTGTGATATGGACGCCTTGTACAAATGTGTGTGAGTGGGTGAATGTGGATTCTGCTGTAAAGCGCCTTGAATGTTAGATAAGGCCACACACGCACATACACACACACAGATATATTTCTGTAGACTTTTCATTTGAGAAGGCAGGAAGAGCACTAACAGGAAAGCTTCCATTCCAGTAAATAAGTTCATGAATGCATTGCAATGCCCTTTGTAGCCTGTTGGAGCAGAAACTGAAGGCCAAAGACATTGTTGAGTGTGGATCAGCCCCCTGCAGCAGATGATGTTTGATGACTGCTCAGGAGGAAGGCTGTAGGTGACATTGACTCTGGTACTCTTCCTATTTACAATAATGGATACAAGATATCCTGCGCTGGACAAAATGGGCAGAGTTTCCTGTCTTTATGATTTATACAGCAAGTCTGTTTGTGTCAGTGGGGTCAGTGTAGCATATCAGTTTGTGGCACACGCCCCCGTTGCATGGAAATAGATGGCACAGGGGTTAAATACCGAGTGCGAGCTAAACATATTTCCTGCATAACCCCCCCCCCGGACCCGTTTACTTCGTCTTCCCCCTCCCTCTTTGGTTTTCAGATCGAGAGTGCCTCAGCAGCAGCGCACTGCACTCCTCTCTCTCTCTCTTCCTCTCTCTCTCCCTGTAGTCCTCAGTCTCCCTCTCTCCCTCCTTTCTTGCTCTACCCTCTCTACCACCAGCACTCTCTTACTCACTCAGTCAAAGGGGGGGATTCTCCGTTAGCAGCTGTAGCTCAGTGTGAGGCTCGCTTCTCATCATCATTTCATTGATGTCCTCTTGTTTCTCTCTCTCTCTCTCTCTCTCTCTTCTGAATTAAATTTCTCAGCAGCCGATGTCACAGCTGACATCCAGTGTCTGCATGCTACCAAGGTGCACAAAGGTGGAGGGAATGGAAGAGAACTTTGAGGTTGTAAAGAGTGCAGCTTTCTCTTGAATCCAGACACTTTGGACAGGTTTATTCACTGTTGTACTCAACAAAGGAAGGATTTTTGTTGTAGTGGATGTCTCATTCGGGTTATTTTCTCCACTTGAGACTTGAGATTTTTTTTTTCCTTCCCCATGGTTCCACCTGCGTGTTTCACCTCTGAGTTACTCTGCAGAATCTCTTGCTACTTTTATGGAGTGTGAAATATTTGCAGTAAGTGTGAAGTTTCGGAGGAGCAAAGTGAGACAAGTCATGGCTGATGGAAGTGCAGCTGAGTGGTGAACCCTTCAGTCCGCGCGGGCAGCCCAGGTAAGACTATATGTTCTGATTCCAGTGCATGCCCAGATAGAGTTGTAATTGTTCACATACATATATTACATGCATAGACAAAGGGCTGCTGTGCTTATCTGAGCATACCAGAAACGTCTATTAGCTAGAGCTGAAATGTGATATTAACCTCATCTAATTTCATCTCTGCCCTTGATGATTTGGAAACAACTTAAGTTGCAGAGGAGGACTATACTTTCTCAGGGATTTCTGTCTTACCAGTTTGTGGACAAATTGTGACTGATTATGAAGTTCTCTGTGTTCCTTCAACTTCTGCTTGTGTACTCTCACAGAGTGACGGTGCATTTCGTCATCAACCCTCAGACACTGCTGAAATAATAATGATGCTTAGAACATCAACTATATCAAAAACACAAATATTCTTTGACTAAATTTTTTCAGCATTAAGCAATCAGTCTTTCTGTTGTGTTTCGGTACCATTTTGTGTTTTAAATGCTATGCAAATCTTTATTTGAATCAAACTGTGGCACTCAATGTATCATGCCATTTGAAAATCTGAGGTTAGATACTCACTGTTTTATGAATTGTCCAACATTCAATTTCATGAATAATCTGGGGATTTGTACTTTGTAGTGCTTTTTATTATCATTATTAAAACATTGCATTGAATTTGCATGAGCTGGAAGATTTTTTATGCACAGCTCTGAGCCAAGACTGAAATTAAGGATTTAATACTTAATATAAGTGAGCTGGTCATCAGGTTTAGACCCCTGCAATCATGCAAGGTTCTTCAACTGAAACACAATGATGTTGTAAATGATTACTGATGGAGCCTGAAAACTTTACATTGAAAGCAAGCAGATTAATGTCTTCCCTTAAGGCTTCATTTCTCACAAATGCAGAATATGATTAAAGACAAACAAGCCAGTACACCATAGTTGATCCGTCTATAATCTCACCCATATATGCAAGATTCACTTAAGTGAACTAATAGTTGAAGCACTGGTCCAAGTTAGAAGACAAGAGCTGATAACCAATCGTAATCTTTTTTTGCAATGTCACCACGTTCACCACTAACATTTCTGTTCTCAACCATCCAGAGATGACCACCATGTCAATGGAGCCTGTCGGAGTCCTCGTTGAAAGGGGCGCCAATGCCACTGCCCCCCCTCTGAACTCACACGAGGACACAGCAGCCACCTTTACCATTGGCACCATTCTCTCCATCATGTGCCTCGTTGGAGTGTCAGGGAACATCTACACCCTGGTGGTCATGTGCCATTCCATGAGGACTGCAGCCTCTATGTACATTTACATCATCAATTTAGCTTTGGCCGATCTGCTGTATCTTCTCACCATTCCCTTCGTGGTCTGCACACACTTCCTGAAGGGATGGTACTTCGGGAACACCGGGTGTCGCATTCTGATCAGCATGGACTTCATGACCATGCATGCCAGCATCTTCACACTGACGATCATGAGCACAGAACGCTACTTTGCAGTGCTCAAGCCGCTCGACACGGTCAAGCGGTCTAAAAGTTACCGGAAGGCCATCGCTCTGCTGGTGTGGGTAGCTTCTTTCATCCTGGCCCTACCAATGATTGTGAGCATTCAGCTAATGACAGTGGAGAAGAAATCCATGTGTCGGCCCACCTTGTCCCCACTCTCCTACAAGGCTTACATCTCCGTCCTGTTTTGCACCAGCATCGTCGCTCCAGGACTGATCATTGGCTATCTCTACACCCAGCTTGCGCGCACGTATTGGGTTTCACAGACAGAGACCTTCAAACAGACCAAGAAACTTCCCAACCAAAAGGTGAGTGTATGACAAGATTGTGTATTTTATGAGATGTAATTTACACACTTTATATTGTTGACTTTATTTCCCACTCATTTTCAAAGGTTTATGCTTTGCATATTTGCATGTATGTGCTCAGCCATTTATGATTATTTCAAAGTTCATTTTAAAATTACATAATACTCTTTGTTCATGCATTTGTAGATACCACTGATACAGAAAGATGACATCATTTGTTCTGTAACCACTACTACCATAAAAAGTTTACCTGTCTGACACCACTCTAAGATATAGGAACAATGAGAACTTGGTCACGGTTAGTGAAAGGATGGTTTGGGTAAAAATGAATTAAGACTAAATAAGACTTAAGAATGAAAACAAAAAATTGGCACAAGAGGAAATAAACAGTTGTCTCCTGTATGAAAGTTTAAGATGTTATTTTACCCGTCCAACCATCTCAAACTCATCACTCTGGTGTTATATATGAGGAATTAGGATAGTCTCTCCAAACTAGTCTGGAACCCTGTTGTTGGTGTGTTGGTGGGCAGCATACTACTAGACCCCATCCTTCACATCTTACCCTCTCTGGATCTCAGCGGTGGATGGATCCAAACACACCCATCAAGTCAAACCTGATATATTTGTTGGAGGTTTGTCATGACTCTGCTGTACAAACCCCCACAGACATTTGTCTCACAAAGGCTGACTCAGTTGTCCTCCTTATGGAAAGTGTATGACTCCTTTGGGCGGGGGCCTTTATCCTATAGCTCATGGGCTTGTGACATCCTTTCTTAGAGTTATTGCATGTGCTTCTGCCTGGGCATAGTTTTGCCAGCAACCCTGTCATCATGGCTGATGAACAGGTGCTATTGTGAGCTTCCCAGCATCCCTTTGGATCTCTGCTTGAAGGATTTCATTATCAATCCTCTCCCTGCTGTTGCAGGCTTTGTATATTCCATTCTCCTCTTGCTCTTTGCTCACGCTGAGACAACGTCGGTTCCAGTTCTCTTCATACCAAGGCTTCAAGCGTGTCAGTTTTGTCTGATCAATCTGATAAACAAGGTGGCTAATGCTGCTCTGCAGTTGCATTAAAGGCTACCCATAGGGTTCACTTGTACCTTGGAGCTCAAAAAAATGCAGACTGTCCAACTTGTAAGAGCATTGTCTAGACAAAACATTCTCCTCTTTGCTATCCTCACTGTGCTGACTTCCTGTTGTACTAAATAAAGGTGTCTCCTGTGTGATCTACATTCAAGCTATGCTGCCATTCTTTAATAATGTTTCCTTTGATTATTGTTTTTGCTTCCAATTTACTTGAAATGAAATGTGAAATGTCCATAACTTCTTCTTCATGTAATGCTTGCTTAGAGATTAAAGCCACCCATTCATTGCCCTCTATTCCTCTGTCTGCCGGTATTGTCATAAAAGTATTCACAACATTCATATGCTGAAATCTATACAGAGTCTCAAATCTCTCATTAACTATATCTTGCCGCCTGTTCAATGAAAATGACCTCAACGACATTAATGCTGAGCACGAATCTGCACACAAATCAATCCTCCTGATTTGTAACTCTTCTACCCATGGTAATGCTGCCGCATTTGCTACCATCGCCACCGTGTCAACTCACAAATGAGCAGAGGTTCCCCTGTTCAATTTGAAGGCTGGTATACTGAAACCAAATCCTGTTCTTCCTTTAATAGGATCTTTGGATCCATCTGTGTATATGGAACAAATATATAAAATGTATGCAATCTGTTTTTTTCCCTGTAAAAAACGTGTTTAAATTAACGAGCAGCTTCAGGTCCAATGGTTGCAAAACTTTAAGCTCTTACATTCATTCTCGTGTGGCCAGCGTCCCACAGCAGGAAGTATATACATTTAAGCAGAGATTAACCAAATGCAATTTGAAAACAATTTCTATTGAATGCTCACAGGTGCTTTGCAACCAGGACTATGGTATGGGTACAATATTATTATGTAATTAAATTATGTTTAACATGTTTGAGTAAGCTTTGTTGTTCTCTGTATTTACGGGTTAATTAATGGTTCCACCCTCTGGTCCTTTCTCCCTAAAGGTGCTGTACCTGATCTTCACAATCGTGCTTCTCTTCTGGGCATGCTTCTTGCCATTTTGGATCTGGCAGCTGCTTGGTCAGTTCCACCCGTCGCTGACCCTCTCCACCAAAGCCAAAAGCAACATCAACTACCTGACCACGTGTCTGACGTACTCCAACAGCTGCATTAACCCTTTCCTCTACACACTGCTCACCAAGAACTACAAGGAGTACCTGAAGAAGCACAAGCGCTCCTGGACGGCAGGCAGTTACTTCAACCGGAGGAGTCGTTTTCAGCGCTCTCCTCGCAGGTCTCCATCTTCCAGCAGTCAGCAGTGTACTGAGAGCTTCATGCTCTCACATACAGCCTCCCTGCGAGCTCATAACAGCAGTTTGTGAGGTAGGAGCAGCTTTCATTCACTGACATTTGAGATTTTCTGAGGTCATGCGAAAATTAAAAGAATTCATCCTGAGTATTTCCTGAAACATACCGTGGTGCTGCACCAATTTCCTGTATTTTTCCATCCTTATACTAACAATTATGCATCAGAAGCCTATGAGCCAGTGTTGTTGTTGGAGGTTTCTATCAGAGGAAAGCCTTGTGTTGGGTTATGTGACTACAGATGGCATTGATTTGTGTCTCTGTGAAAACAGGTCTGTTTAGGATTCCCACTACCTGGTATGCAGTATAACATGTGGAGCAAGTGCCTCTTGATTTTTCTGTATGGGACTGGGTGAGCTTTGTGGAACATGTTCAAAAATAATAAATATTCACAAGCATGGGACATTTTGAATGTTCGGAAGGGAAACTTTTGTGCCATTGGGTTTCTGAGATGTATCTACTTCGTCAAGGGGTTCCAAGCATGAATAAGTCAAACTCATATTACATAAGGCCCGGTCATAGAGTTCCACTTAATAAATAAGAAATTAAATATCTTCTATCTTTGTCACTCCTGCGTTCATACAGGCACATATTACACTATATACGTTTATTTAAGTCTTTTCAGGAATTTAACTGAATAGTCTTCTTTTGGGCCCAGTACAATAGTACAATTTCTTTCATGTCAAAACTGCATCAGTTGTAGTATATATATTAAATATTCAGTCTGTGTCAGAATGAATATTCTTTAAAATGAAATTTTCATTGCTCTTTAAATGTTTCTCGCCATTATATCTTATCTACAACTAAGCGAGCAGAGACGTTTAAATGAATAAAAAGAAATTCCCTGCAAGTAAAGGATCAATGGTTGGAATATTTAGCTAAAAATTATGGATAAGTGTTGAAATAGTCGGAGGTTAATGTTTTCTCACACATGTTTCTAAAAATAGAACACATGGAGAACCTCAGCAACAAGAGATTGTTTTGTCAAATTAATTCATGACAAGCAAAATTTTGGAAATATTTGCTAAAATCATTTAGTTTAGATCATAAGCATAGACCTCTTGTTCAATTCCTTGAAAATGTTCTAATCATGAATGACCTCTTAACCTAAATTAAATATGCATCAATTACTGTTTATTAAAGTGCACCTACTGTCTTTTTGAATTATTAAACATTACAGATGATTCCTATTTACAAAGATAAGAAAATGCATTATTCATGAGGTGCTTCATTCTACATGCACACTATCAAAATTTGCAATTATGTAGCAATTCAAACTTTTTCTAGCCTTACTCTCTCAATTGTGTTGTGTTACCTATATTTTATTTCCTCAAGTGACTAAAATATTCTATTTCAATTTAATTTATTTTTATTTTAGATTGCCTCAAGGACCCGTCTTAAGGTTTTCTTTCCTCCTGTTTTCCCCACAACATTCTACCTTTTGGTTTCTCACTAATCCTGTTTCTTTAAACTTTAAGGACTGATTGATGGCTCTTGTTTGGAACCTGTATCAAGTTTGAATATTTGTCAGCGATGTATCATCACCAGGTGTCCCACTTTTTGCAATATCATTTATGGGGGGATATTTATGTATGTGTGACAGTCTGCACGACTCACACAGACATCTTACACTTTGGTCGCATATTTTTGCTAAATTATAGTGGAACTGATGGGGACGGAGGGAGAAGAGCAGGGCGAAGGGCAAAGCACGGGTTGGGTGACAGGATACACACACACACACACACACACACACACACACACACNCACACACACACACACACACACACTTGCCACTAACTTTCCACTTGGTTTGGTAGCATAGCCATATAAATGCCACATAGTTAGAAGCCAGCTGAGACACACGGCACATTTGATTTATAGTTCTTCTTCAGGTGCCAACATCTGCTCAACTAATACTTTACCAAATATTTTAACAATTTGGATCATAACTAAATCCAGACTGGAAATTTACTGCAGTTTAGTTTGATTATATATTTCTCAGGGTAATTATACATGAATAAACATCATTATGTCAGAATCTGCGTAAAAGGTGAGTTGCTGCACCAACTTACACACACTCTATTAGTTCCCTATAAACATGCCTTATACTTTCATCAAGATCCTCAAATCATTTCCTGGTAAAAGGAAGAAAAGAGGAAAGAATGAAAATGTTTAAAAACAACCACATCCTAATACTTACCACCATGTTTTGTGGAAATCTGTGAAGCAGTTTTTGTGTAGTCTTGCTTATAACCAAACCAACCACCAATATATGGATAGGGGTGAAAACATATCCTCATTGGGAGAGGTAACAAATATAATAACAGGACAACAGGAGCAGGGTAGGTCAGGCAGCGGAGCAGTGTCACAACATGCAAATAGTATATTGACTGACATTTTTAGACAACAAGAGTTTACAAGTGATAGTGCTGAAAGATTTAGTGGTCTGATAGCAATGTTCTTCACTGTATGTGATTGCTTAAGTCCCTGATGTGCGCTGGTTCAGCAGTCCATTTATGTGCTGCTTTAACTGAAAAGGCAGATTGATTAAAAGCAGCGGGGTAATGCCATTTCCTATTGTGGCTCATCTTGTCATTTCATTTGTATTTATTTGTTGCTTCACAAAGAGTCTCAGCCCAGAGGAAGCATGCCAGCAACAAAATACATGTATCAGGTTCTCTCAGGTTAAAAAAATATTATATTTTTCCAGATGTTTCAGTGCTGAGAACTATTCAATTTCTTACCATTGGTTTTTATGGTTTGTTGAAATAAGTGGTCTGTTAAGGTTGAACTACTGCTTGTGACCAGCTTGTTAAACGGTGGGTTGGGTGCAATAGGATTCTAGAATAAATATTAATTCTAGCAGCAGTGTAATACATTATGAATATGAAACTGATTGTGAATCTGAAATTTGCTAAATTATTCTTGACCCCTGAGATTTTAAGTCCTAACAGACCCAAGGTATTTTAATTCTTTGACAATTTCTAATCCCCAAACTAGACAATTTTTTTTTTTTATTCATCCCACAAAGAATAAAAATCCAATCTTGTTCATAACTTTGTACTGAGCTTAAGCTATACCGGTAGTGCTTCACCCTTGATTACAGTGTGGTGTGTGTCCAGGCTGTTTGTAGAGAGAGTAACAGTGAGTCATACATTACCACTGTCTGCCTTGGAATACAATGTGCTCAGTGACACCTCCCATAATTCACAGGGGCAGAGAATATGGCTCCATATTTTTCCAGCACACATGGAGACAAACATGGGACGCAGAGGTAGGAGTGTCTCTGATACACTCAACACCACTGCCAAACTCAGTCCAACATATTGTGTGTTTCAGTGACAACCTTTATTTTTCAAGTGTTGGGCAGCAATGTATTATGTAGCAGTGCTCATCAAGAAAAAATGCAAATGGTTTCTAATTACATACAAAATAAATGACGTCACTTTCCTAATTAACATCAAAAGTATAATGTCAATATTTCTCACGTTGATTTTGTTTGGTCAACATGTCTTCGAAAGATCCACATTGTCCTCTTCCACTTTTTATTGAGTACATGTTGAAATGGAAACAAGACATTGTGCTTTAACAAGAAGTAGAGCCAGAGGTTAAAGAATTTACTGAACTTTACACTCATTGTTTTTCAGGAACGAGTAGAGTTAGGAATGACCTTTCTCTGTGATTTGGCCGTCTTAGATTTCTCCAAAAATCTTGTATTTCTGTGTATTTGAGTGTACATGTAAAAAGGAGCATTTAGGAATGACATCACACCTTACTTCACACATGCCTACTGTTGCTTCATGCATGTGCCAAAAGCAACAATGTGGCTATATACCAGTTTCTCTACATTTGGTGAGCGCTGCTGGATCTAAATACTAAATTTAGCATCACTGCACCACATAGATTTTATTGCCAACCACTGGCCAGACATGCTTGTTTGAGTGTTTGAAGTCATTTTTGCGTTCTGATCTGGACAGAGAGGTTTTATAAAATAAAAGTTGTGTGAATGGAGATTTTTGGCCTGACCACAACTCATTTAAAGATCAGCATAGTCATGGGCGATAAATATACCAAATGTAACTGGCTGCTAGGGGTCTTTCAATCAAAACAATAACAAAAGATCTTGCTTGATGACTTTGTGAAGCAGCGTTGCATCATGGGAGTTGTCTTCACCACCATTTCTTGAACCATAATCTTCTTGAGCTTCAGCGACAGAATGCACGGTCCTTTAGGAGATGCCAATACAAACTGTGGAAGAACAAAAACAGCCGACTGCTGACTGGCTTGCTGGATAATTATGTGTTTTTCCTCTCTCATGTTGTTTGCCCCAGAAGTTACAACAGAAAAGGACAAAGCCACAAGTGCTTATGGTGCAGTACAGAATATACAACATAGTTCTAATTGTTTTTAGACATTTAAATGGAGATTTTTTTAGGTATTATAGCTTTATGATACGACTGTGGCTCATGGGAGAGAGCAGACATCTGCGATTTGAGTGTTCATCAAGACGAGAGAGTGCTATATAAATATAGACCAATTAAGCCAATTAAGATTTGTGAGTGCATTTACTTTGTAAACAACATGGGCTGTGGATGGGAAAATGAAAGATCTGTCTGAAACTAGTCTAGATGCTTGTTGTGCATTTTGCCCCTGCAGGATAGAGACATAGTGTTTAAATGCACCATTGACTAAACTGGGCAGAATAACATAACACATATGTTACCAAGTAGATAATGCAGGTAAATTGAATTACTCTTTCAACTGATTATGCAGTAATACATGAATACATTTTTAATTATATTGTCTAAAATGACAAACTGAAAATGCAGCATGACTGCAGTGGCTCTATATAGCTCATATTTCAGTCTGAAGGTCATTGTTCCGCCCCGTCTCTGTGCCAAGCGATCTCAGTCTGCCCTAATGAAGTTTGATTTAACCCAACCAGTAGGAAAACATCAAAATATCTATTTTGCCAATAACAATATACAGAACGAGCTTTTAATTATAATGACATATAAACAGTTAATGTGCCCAGAAGAATAACAGCGTGATTGTACTGCTATCACAAAGTTGGCGACCAACCAGCTGGAAAATCTTCTGCTGGGAGAGGATTTTTAAAAAAAGCTAGTGGCAATATCATACAGCGAGCGGGGATTTATTTCATATCATCCTGTGGAAATACAGCCACTGTTCGAAACAAAAGCACAGATTCAACCAGATTATTTGAGCATGATGCTGTAACAACTTGTGTGCAATGAAAAACAGATTAAGGATGAATATTGAGATGACTATAATAAAAAGTATAGTGAGATGACTATAATAAAAAGTATAAATCTAAGTTCAATAGTATCTATTCTGCTTTGACATTTTGTTGTTTTTATTTTCTCAATTGTTTCATAGTAACAGCTTCCCTTCCTCATAGACCACATCACTTGGCTCGATTCTTGACCACTGGAAACATTTGTATACAAGCGCTTTAGCACACGTTTGAAATAGTTTCGGAAGAAGTGAGCTATTGGAAAACTTAGGTCATGAAAACAGAGTAATATATCTCACCACTTAGTCTACTCTCTTAAAATGATTTAAAACTTACACCTTGATCTCTTTTTTCTTAAATTTGTTTTATGGGTTTCCACATGTCTTTTATTGCCCTCAGTGGATGTTTTCGTTGAAGAGCCCCTTGACAATGCTGGAGTGTTAGTTAATATGATCCTCTGCTATATTCCAAAATGGCTACTAAATGTTTCCTCAATAAAAAATTGCTAAACTCCTGCATCTGCAGTGACTGCTGCCTGGCAGTCCTTGTGAAAGTGCCCTCAGCTCCCAACGCATGCTGGTAGCATCACATGTTTACTGCGGCACAGGGTCACACGAGGAAGCAGCCAGCAGACACAGGAAATGGTAGAAGGAGGCATTTTTTAATGTGGAAAACACGTGATGCATAGAAGTTTTTTAGTGCTGTGGTTTACCATTCACCGCAGCAGCAAGTCGATGTCCCCTTTGACTAGTTTAATTATTCCATACATATAAGGAATGAATATTCCCACACTCTCTGGTCTGAGATTACCTTGAAATATGCTGTTCAAGTGTTCCAAGTAATTGACAGGGATAAGAGCAGATTGGCAATTTTGTAGTCTGGAATGAATTAACCACACACAAAAAGCTCACACCAACTGTCTCTGGACAAAAAACCCACCCTATCCTGGGTGACAGAGAGATCTACAACAACCATGTAATCTGTGCCTGTATGATTATGTGTCACCTCCACTGCATGTAGCCTGTTCACAAACCACACAAAGTAATACATCTTGAATTTTCAGTGTTGGAGTGACATCTGTAAGTGGTTTCCCTTTTCCTCTCAGCTATGAGAGGAAATTAGTCAGCGAAGGAATTGGTGATTTTAATAAAAATGGAGAGTTTAGTATAATATTTCTCTCTGCGTCAGAAGGTCAATAATTCATACAAGAAACTAGACAAATGACTTCAATAAAACCTCTTGTACATACCCATATAAAGTCTTTATTCATCTTTAAGTGCAGTCATGCAGTGTATATAGGAATTAATGTAGGGTATGGAAAACACAATTCTAAAGGGAGGGAGGCATATTGCAATCGGGAGTTAAATAACAAACCCAACAGCTCATCTAAACCACATTCCATATTTACATTTACTACAGGTAAGAGCTTTTTGATCTACAACAGTTCACTAAAAGCACAGATATCCCAGTTTTTAATGTAACAAGCATTTATAGACCTGTGTGGAGCTGGAGGCAGAGAGAAAAGACTTCGATCCATATATATCATGTACATACACATACAATAACATAAAATAAAAAGTATTTCCAGTGCATATATGTATATTAAATAACAATTCTTTAGTATTCGTAAAATTGATAGTGTTAATTTTGTTAAATAAAAGAATTGCATAGTTTTTGTTTCACACATTTTTAAATTGTATTGTTCACATATCCATCATGAAACTGATGTCAGGCGTTCAGCTGAAAATAAATCACTGTAAATGATATATTGTAATTTAGTAGCAATCATACATTTTCGTCACCGATAACAAGGAAGCAACCTAAACCCATTTCCTGCTTCGGACTTGATTACAATTAGCCCAGAGGAATACAAATAAAGGGTAACAATCAGTAAGTATTATCACAGACAGACAATCTCAAAGAATAGAAAATGAATACGTTTCAGAGGTTAGTCTAAGGGTCACGAACATACGAGGGGGAGTATAACTTGCCAACTTGCCGCCTTTAAACTTTCAATTTATTTATTAATTTGCAATTTTTGCAATTTTTTCCCCAAACTGTTCCCCATTCTCTAACATTCAAGTCAATCTGCAGTTGATCTTTGCATGTCCAAAAATGTATATCGAATCTAAATTGTTCGTCAAGAAACAAGCTAGTCTTTATAATATTTTTTTTGGTTTCGTGCCTATTAGAAAATCTAAGCATGCTAACCTTGCTAAATTAAGAAGGTGAACACAATCAACATTATACCTGCAAAACAGCAGCTTGTATTGGACAGCATGTGTAAACAGAGCAGCATTGATTTGCCTGAACCCTATGTAGCCTCGCAGAGCCACAGGCGTGGCCGCAGGCTCTTCTCGTCTCGTTCAAATCATTATAAAGTTGATCAAAGAAGTATAGAGGGTAGATTGTTGGCATTAATCATCCAGGCTATCAAATCACATAGATTTGTAAAGTGGCTACACGCAGAGACACACAAATCCTGCCCCATAAAAGTCCATAAAGATTAAACGGAGGAAGCCTTGACTGCTATTAGAGCTGGATATGAAAGTTTCATTCCTTCATCTTTAATTATAATTGCTTTAATCCCATGTCTCGAGCTGCACATGTCAGCACTGCTTTAAAGCCATCCTCATCTGTCACAGCCTGTTTCGGACTATACGCTATAGAAATATTGATGGAGGACTCATTAAGTTATCTTCTTATTGCCTTTTTCACAAAGAGCTCGCTGCCTGTTGGACTGAGAGGTCACCTCTGTTAAGGTCACCCAGAATCACATACACCAATTCTTTTTTATTTGTCATGATGGTAAAAGGAATATTGATTGTTTAGCCGTATATCTGAAAACATTGACTCTGCACATTTTGGGAATTGGAAACAGGAGCTGCTGTTCTCCTTCCATCAGAGGTGATGAGATTGGCTTTGCCTGTAATATCTTAAGGCTACATTGTCTGGGAGATCACAAGGTGCTTATTGATCACAATGGTCCCCACTGTGATCAATCAGCACCTTGACTCACCCCCACTGCTGTTCTACAAGATTGTATAGACTAGGATTGATGTAGTGTACCTTTATCTTACCTGGGTTAACGTTAATGTCCCAACCTTCGCTTAGAAATGTCTTAC